AACTGCGTTTGCTGCACCCCAGAGGTTTTGGATCACTGTGTTTTCATTGTCATTTGTCTCTAGGTATTTCTTGATTTCCTCTTTGATTTCTTCAGTGATCCATTGGTAGTTTAGTAACATATTGTTTAGCCTCCATGTGTTTGTGTTTAGTTTTTTTCTTGTAGTAGATTTCTAATGTCATAGTGTTGTGGTTGGAAAAGATGCTTGATATGATTTCAATTTTCTTAAATTTACTGAGGCTCGCTTTGTGGCCCAGCATGTGATCAATCCTGGAGAATGTTCTGTGCGCACTTGAGAAGAAAGTGTATTCTGCTTTCAGATGGAAGTTCTGTAAACATCAGTTAAGTACATCTGGTCTAATGTGTCATTTAAGGCCTATGTTTCCTTATTAATTTTCTGTCTGGATGATCTGTCCATTGATGAAAGTGGGGTGTTAAAGTCCCCCACTGTTATTGTGTTACTGTCAATTTCTCCTTTTATGGCTGTTAGCATTTGCCTTATATATTAAGGTGCTCCTGTGCTGTGTGCACGTATATTTACAGTTGTTATGTCTTCTTCTTGGATTGATCCCTTGATCATTATGTAGTGTCCTTCCTTGTCTCTGGTAACATTCTTTGTTTTAAAGTCTATTTTGTCTGATATGAGTATTGCTACTCCAGCTTTCTTTTGGTTTCCATTTGTATGGAATGCCTTTTTCCATCCCCTCACTTTCAGTCTGTACGTGTCCCTAGATCTGAAGTGGGTCTCTTGTAGGCAGCATATATACGGTCTTGTTTTTGTATCCATTTAGCCAATCTATTTCTTTTAGTTGAAGCATTTAATCTATTTACTTTTAAGGTGATTATCAATATATATGTTCTTATTGCCATTTTGTTAATTGTTTTGGCTTTGTTTTTGGAGGTGTTTTTTCTTCCCTTCCTCTTTTGTTCTCTTGTGATTTGGTGACCAACTTTAGTGTTGTGTTTGGATTTCTTTTTCTTTTTTTGTATGTATCATCTACTATAGATTTTAGGTTTGCAGTTACCATGAGGTTTTGATATAGCAGTCTGTAGATAAACAGGATTGTTTTAAGTTGCTGGTCTTTTAATTTCAGATGCATTTCCAATATCCTGTATTTGTGGTCTCCTCTTGTCATGATTGCTAGTTTTGATATATTTGTGTGTGGATGATTTCTTACCTGTACTGTATATTTGCCTTTACCAGTGAACTTTTCCATTCACAGTTTTCTTGTTTCTAGCTGTGTCCTTTTCTTTTGTGCCTAGAGAACTTCCTTTAGCATTTGCTGCAAAGCTGTTCTGGTGGTCCTGAATTCTCTTAGCTTTGGCTTGTCTGTAAATCTTTCGATTTCTCTGTTTAATCTGAATGAGAGCCTTGCTGGTAGAGTATTCTTGGTTTAGGTTCTTCCCTTTCATCACTTTAAATATATCATGCCACTCCTTTCTGGTATGCAGCACTTCTGCTGAGAAATCAGCTGATAACTGATAACCTTATAGGAATTCCCTTGTATGTTACTTGTTGCTTTTACCTTGCTGCTTTTAATATTTTTACTTTGTCTTTAGTTTTTGTCAATTTGATTACTATGTGTCTCAACGTGTTTTCCTCCTTGGGCTTATCCTGCCTGGGACTCTCTGTGCTTCCTGGACTTGGATGACTGTTTCCTTTCCCATGTTAGAGAATTTTTCAGCTATTATCACTTCAAATATTTTCTCAGGTCCTCTCTCTCTTCTCCTGGGACCCCTAAATGCAAATGTTGGTACATTTAATGTTGTCCCAGAGGTGTCTTAAACTGTCCTCTTTTTCATTCTTTTTTTTTATTCTGTTCTGCAGCACTGATTTCCACCATCCTGTCTTCCAGCACACTTATCCATTCTTCTGCCTCAGTTATTTGCTATTGATTCCTTCTAGTGTATTTTTCATTTCAGTTATTGTACTGTTCGTCTCTGTTTTTTAGTTCTTATAGGTCTTTGTCATACATTTCTTGTATCTTCTCCATCTGTGCCTCCATTCTTTTTCCGAGATCTTGGATCATCTTTACTATCATTTCTTTGACTTCGTTTTCAGGTAGATGGCCTACTTCATCTAGTTGTTCTTCTGGGGTTTTATCTTGTTCCTTCATCTGGGACATATTTCTCTGCCATCTCATTTTGTCTAATTTTCTGTGATGGTGGTTTCTGTTCTGCAGGCTGTAGGGTTGTAGTTCTTGCTTCTGCTGTCTGCCCCATGGTGGAGGAGTCTGTCTAAGGCTTCTGCAGGCTTCCTGGTGCCTCCATTTATATTTAATGTATTATGTTAAGGCTTAAATGTGCCATTTTACTTTTTGTTTTCTGCTTGTCTTTTGTTTCTATTTTTTCCTCCCTTCACGTAGTTTAAATTTAAAAGATAATCTTTTTTTTTTTTTTTTAGAGTTCTATTTGGGCATTTGTACAGATTTTTAGTGGATGCTCCAGGTATTACAGTATGCATACACATAACTTCTCAAAATCTACTGGTGTCAAGTTTTACCAGTTTGGAAACATTACTTTCTTTTACCTCCCATATCTATAATATAGTTATTTTATTTCATTTATATACATTGAAAACCATAAAACTTATGTAATTTTTGCTTCAACCATCAAATATAATTTAGAAAACTTAGGAGAAAGAAAACCCATTATATTTACGCATATTTTTGCTCTTTCTTTGTTCTTTTTTCCTTTCCGATGTCCCAAGTTTCCATATTTTAGTGTTTCCTTTTTGTTTAGAGAATTTTACTTTAGTCATACTTCTAAGGTAGGTCTGCTGGTGAAAACGTTTCAGTTTTACTTCATATGAGAATGTCTTGATTTCCCCTCCTTTATTTTATTTTTTCTTTGCGGTACGTGGGCCTCTCACTGTTGTGGCCTCTCCCATTGCGGAGCACAGGCTCTGGACGCGCAGGCTCAGCGGCCGTGGCTCACGGGCCCAGCCGCTCCGCGGCATGTGGGATCTTCCCGGACCAGGGCACGAACCCGTGTCCCCTGCATCGGCAGGTGGACTCTCAACCACTGTGCCACCAGGGAAGCCCTCCCCTCCATTTCTGAAGGGTATTTTCATGGGATATAGAATTCTGGATTGACAGTTCTTTCAGCCCATGAAAAATGTGCCACGTACTTCTGGGGCCCTGGTTTCTGAGGAACTTGCTGCCATTCTGATTGTTTTGAACCTGGAGGTGATGTGTCATTTCCCTCTGGCTACTTTCGAGATTCTTTGCTTACGGCTTTAGTTTTGACTATGATGACTTGGTGTGGATTTCTTTGGTTTTATTTCATTTGGGGTTCACTCAGCATTTTGAATCGGAACCTTTATGCTGCTTTGCCAAATTCAGGAAACTGTCAGCCCTTTTCCTAGGAATATTTTTTTCAGCTCCCCCCTCTCTTCCTTGTTCCATGAGTATATTTTATGAAAACTGTGGGGAAGAAAGTCAAAGGAATGAATTTCAGAGGAACTCTAGATATTCCTATATTCTAGATATAGCAAGTAATGAGGTAAGAGAATTCTGGAGCCTGGGGCTTTGGGACTCTCCCTACCCACACTGCACAGCTGAGCTCCACCAAACTCCCTCCATGCCTATGCTCTTTCCTCAGTGCCTGGCTGTCACTGTTAGTGGTTCCCAAACAAGTCTCCGTTCACCCCCTCTCAGTAAATGGTGTCACTTAGTTCAGGCCCAAATAATGACAACTAAATATAAGAAGGCATCCTGAGTCCTCTCCTTCTCACACCATGCCCACTCTAGCATTGACCTTCAGTTCCAGAATCTTTTGGGGACCTTAGCACAACAAATAAAATAAAACCACAGCTTCCTTGGTCTGACCCCAGAGATTCTGATTGGAAAGACATGTCCAATTAAAAAAATAGATATCCCTAGGAGATTTAGAAGGACAGACAGGCAAGCCTAGTTTACCCTGGTTAGTATGGAAACGAGCACAGTGCCCCTGCTTGATGCTTTTATCCCCTTGGTGTCCTTGCAGCATTTGTCACTACCCCATGGAGCCAACTGACTCGAAAATGTGTAGCTTCAACTTCCTATGTGTTCTTCCATTTGTTATAAAAGGAATTAAAAAACCCTACCAGTGGGCTTCCCTGGTGGCGCAGTGGTTGAGAGTCCGCCTGCCGATGCAGGGGACACGGGTTCATGCCCCGGTCTGGGAAGATCCCACATGCCGCGGAGCGGCTGGGCCCATGAGCCATGGTCGCTGAGCCTGCACGTCTGGAGCCTGTGCTCTGTAACAGGAGAGGCCACAACAGTGAGGCCCGTGTACCGCAAAAAAAAACCCTACCAGTAAGCTCTACCACTAAACCTTGAAAGAATTCTTAGTGAAAATGAAAACTCTCAGTTTCTAGTCCACAGGTCACTAATGACACTTCCTTTTCTCCATCTGCTCCGTGCTTTCAGGGAAGGACACACAATGATTCTAACCCTGGGTGAGACCTGAAAATCTCTCCACACTGCAGTGAACACCGTTTGCACAGATTCAGCCCCAGCAGCACTGAAATGTTTCCACTATCCACTCATCAAGTTACATATTATACCAACCTGGATAGTTACAGAAATTTCTTTAAAATTAAATTCTCTAATGTTTTTCTTAGCCATCCGATGATGCACCATGCAAAGCAGAAAGCCAACCTTTAAAACTGAGAGTTTCAATATTTTATTAAAATAGCATATTTAACCACTGTTAACCAAGAATATGTTAACTTCCCACCCCCACCACGTGCAGCCCAACACAGTAGTGATTGATTTCAAATATCCTGCATTGTGATAACCAACAGAAACATTTCAAAGTCAAGTCTGCAACTAAAAACTAGACCTTGGAAAAATTCTGAATTAGAAGAAACATAAAGCCCTCAAAAACAGAATTTTTTTATCTGCCCGAGAATTAATGCGGGATGCCACCCACCTACCTGACAGTACTGCTGGTCTGCTTTTTTTCCTCTGTGCATAGTATAACGTCTCATTTATTAGTACCCACTTTATAAATAAATCGGCATTTAATCACCCCATTTAATGTTCCTTTTCAGCTTCACAAAGAAACCAGTAAATAAAACTGTCGATGACAGTCACGACATAGGCTCTCACGGCAAGGTAAAAAATTTGAAAATACGCAGAGATGCATCAATGCTATTTTACATAAAAAGACAGATTTAAAAAGTGCAAGGCAAAATCTGCAGTTTTTTAGGGAAGTTTTTAGGCACATCCATTTCTTAAAGCAAGCTTCAGAATGAATTCCAGTTTGTTCTTCATGATACCTGTTTAAGTCTTTCTTTAAAAAAAGAAAAATACATCTCATCAAGTGTGAAACAGGGCCTCTCCCGTCCCGAAAGGCGGGGTTTTCAGCTACGGCGCGTCCGCCCTCTTTTTACTCTTGCGGGCTTTGGTTTGGGGATGTACTGATTATTAGCCTGGTACTCGAGTTCTTTTCGGAAGTAGTGAATTGCTTTGTTTAACCCTTCCTCCAGCGGGACCTATTTAAAGAGAGAGCGAGAATGAGGGCTGCGGCCGGGTCCCCCGAGGCTGCCTGTGCACCCTGACAGAGCGCACTTGAAGGAGCTGCAGCCCCAGAGACCCACACTTCCTCCTGCAGGTTGGGACGCTGTTCCAGTTTGAATCAGTCACAAAAGGCACCCTTAAAATAATGCCCACATGCGCCCTTCCTCTCAGAAGTCTCCATGGAGGAAGACGCGTGGAAGCATCCGTATCCAATCCACATGCCTGATTCTCTGGGTGACACTTACTCTCTGTACTTTCACCCCCGGGAACCTACAAGGGACCCATGACCTGGGAAGCCTCATAATTTAGAGCTGCCCTGCAGCAAACAGAAACCGAATCAGCTGCCCATGTCCTCTCTGCAGACATGACCTCTAGACTGAGACCTGGAGGAAAGGAATGCACCAGCCGCAGGGGGGGGAGACCGTCAGCCTGGGGGACAGGCACCCTGAGCCTGATGGATTTCAAGGGCAACAGAAAGGAGGGGAGGCCCACCGTTACCCCCTCCAGCCTCTCACACTCCCACCCTGCTCCACCTGCGTAGGAACTGGGGTGGGTGAGCCCTGCACGTCCATGACACCCTGGCTGCGTAAAGAGAGGCAAGGCAGGGCTACCTGGGGCCAAGCCATTCCCCGTTAACAGAGGACAAGGGACACAGGCTACAAGCACCATGTGGGTCTGGAGAGAACACTGGTGGGGCCCCCCAGGCCACCCCACGTGGCAGCACCCCCAGGGAACATAGTGCAGGAGTGGAACCACCCCCCACTTACCACGGGCTCCCACCCCAGCATCAGCTTTGCTTTCTTGATGTCTGGTTTCCTTTTCTGGGGGTCATCCTGGGCTTCAGAGAGAAACTGAATTTCACTCCCGCTGCCTGTGTTGTTGAAAAAAGGTGAGAATCAGGAACCACTGGGATGCAGCTCTCCACATACATCGAAGGCAAGGCCCACCAGCGCAGGTACACAGGTGCAGATGGAGGGCTGTGTCCCACCCGCGCAGGTATACAGGTGCAGATGGAGGGCTGTGTCCCAAGTCACCTTCCCCCGCTGCCAGGGAATGTGCTGCTGGCCCACCAGCGCAGATGTACAGGTGCAGATGGAATGCTGTGTCCCAAGTCACCTGGCCCCACCCCCGGGAATGGTGCTGCTGGCCCACCCGCGCAAGTATACAGGTGCAGATGAAGTGCTGTGTCCCAAGTCACCTTGCCCCCCCCCCCACCACCGGGGACAGCTAGCCCACCAGCGGAGGTACACAGGTGCAGATGGAGGGCTGTGTCCCAAGTCACCGCCCCCCCCAGGGAATGTGCTGCTGGCCCACCCGCGCAGGTATACAGGTGCAGATGCAGTGCTGTGTCCCTAGTCACCTCGCCCCCCCTACCCCCAGGGATGGTGCTGCTGGCCCACCAGCGCAGGTACACAGGTGCAGATGGAGGGCTGTGTCCCAAGTCATCTTGCCTGCCACCCCCCCCCCCCCCCCGACGGCGCTGCTGGCCCACCAGCGCAGGAACACAGGTGCAGATGGAGGGCTGTGTCCCAAGTCACCTTGCCCCCCGGCCCCCGGGGACTGCTGGCCCACCCCGGCACACAGGTGCGGATGGAGGGCTGTGTCCCAAGTCATCTTGCCTGCCACCCCCCCACCCCGCCCGGGGACTGCTGGCCCACCAGCACAGGTACGCAGGTGCAGATGGAGTGCTGTGCCCCGAGTCACCTCGCTCCCCCCCCGCCCCGGGACGGTGCTGCTGGCCCACCAGCGCAGGTATACAGGTGCAGATGGAGTGCTGTGGCCCAAGTCACCTCCCCCCCGCCCCCAGGGAATGTGCTGCTGGCCACACAGCACTTGGCAAGGGTAGGACACCAGCCTGCGCCACCCGAAGGGAAAGGAGAGGGCAGGCCCAACGCCCACCATCCCCCTCAGCAGCCCAGCTGCGTGCCCACTGCCACCAGGGGGGCTGTGACCCTGATGCCCCGACGAGCCCCCCTCAGGTGTTCACGTCCTGAAGGAGCCCCTCACCTGCAGCCAGGCTCCCTTCAGCCCATCTAATGGGCAGAGTGCCGGGGAGTGACCGTTGGCCAGCCCAGGCTGACACCTTACGAGGCCCTGCTACCTACGCCCTGCCAGAGCCACCCTGAGCCAACAAAGGATGTCCAGCCACCCTGCTGGACAGACCTCAAGCAGAAGGACAGAAGCCCGGCTGCTCCAGCTTCCTAGGACCAACAGATCGAAGCCAGCCCCGTAACCACTGGCCAGGCCTGCAGAGGGAGCCCCCAGCCCTGGTCACAGAATCTGGAGCGAATAAAACAGCTGCCGCCTGAAGCCAGTGGTCTGGGGCAATGTGTTACACAGCCGTCCACCCAGGCTCCAGACAAACTTCCCAACCTCAGCGTGAGCACGAGCGCCTGAGGAGTCACCAAACGCGGATTCTGACCCCGGAGACGCGGGCAGGGTGTGGGACTCTGCATTTCTAACAAGTGCCTGATGGGGACGAAGATGCTGTGGTTTTCATCTCAGGAGGACCATCCCCTGTCCTGTCCGACTGTCCGGGCTGGACAGTGCCAGGAAGGACAACTGCAGAGAATCCAGCCTGCTAAGCGCAGGGTCTAGACGGGCCCACATCACGCTCGCCTGGCCTAGCCAACCCCACTCCAATCTGGTTGTGTCTGGACCCTGACTTCTTGATCAAACCTGGGAAGCAGACACCCCCCAACCCGAGCCCCAGGAACCTGACCCTGTGGCCAAGGGCACAGCCCGCAGACACCGGCAGCCCAGGGCCGGCTGAAAACACACAGACTTCTCAGGGCTTAAGAGCACAGCCTCGCGGGGGCCGCGCCCAGCGTCCACACTGCCTGCGACACCCCGCGGCCAGGTTGGCCCGAGCTGCACCTGGAACGGAAAACTCGCCACCGGATTCCACCAGAATCACACAAGCCCCGGTGTCGCTCTCCCGCTCCCTGAAATCCTGTGCTCGGCCCAGCTGGCGTCCGGAACCAGACAGTGGTCACCTGGGCAGAACTGCCGACCCCAGTCACGTCTCGAGCACAGAGGTCAGACGTACCATTTCTGCTCCACACAGACCTTGTCACAAGGGTGAACAAAGCTGGGCTCCTCCCCGCACCCCTTCATCTTTCCATCACTTAGAATCACAAAACGGTGAGGCCCTCCTGATCAGGTTCTGCTTTTCATCCAATTCGATTAGCGTGTCTTAATTACCCGCCGTCCAGGCGAGGCGTTATTAACCGACAGGGTAAGCGCGGCCGGTCACACGCAGGAAGGCCTCTGTCCTACTTACCAACGAGGTTTTTAATTAGCTGAGCGAATTCCAGGATCGTATGTTCTTCCGGGTTCCCCTAAGGAAGAAAGGTCTCTGGTTAGAGGTGTAAACGCAACGGCGACTCCACGCCCTCCCGCACCACATGCGCGCCGTCCCCGACGCCGGGGGGCGGGGGCAGGGTCAGCAGACGCCCGCCTGTGTAGCAGCGCATCAGGACACTGCGTCCCCTGGCCCAGGCACGGGACGGTTTCCAGACGCAAAGGTACTGTAGGCTCGGTGTCGCTCTACAGGAAAGCCTGGTTCTGTGAGCTCAGCTCTCCCAGGACACTCTTGCTTGCCCCTGGGGGCGCCGTGCTCGCCCCCTCGGTGATGAAGACGCGTGAGCCTGGACAGGAGTCCCAAGAGATGCGAAACGCACTCGCAGGGGGGCCCTGGGCAGCCGATGCGAGAGACAGGATGTGGCTCTATGACGGGCTTACTTTGGGGGGCCTCTGAACGCCCCTCCTCCTCTTCCTGCCATGGTACCTTCCAGCAGCCACGGCCCCTCCCCTCCCCGAGCCTGCTCGTCCCATGAGAGCGCACCATGAAGTCTGGCAACTGTACGTCCCAACACTCTTCATCCCCAATCTCCTGGTTTCGTCTGAGACCAAAGGTAAAAGAGGCAGGAAGGGACCCTAGGCCTAATTATGAGCACCCCGGGGCTACCGGCAGACACACCCCTGAAACAAGACAGGTTTCTACAGGAGTCGGACACTCCAGCACGGCCCTGTGCAAAGAGGCGAGAACGACGCGGCACTAAAGCAGGGAGTGGCTGCTTGGGGCGACCACTAAGACGCACACTTGGGTAAGGGCGGTGAAAGCTCAAGATGAAGTGAGGATTCACGAGACACGGCTTATGCTGTTTAACCACCTGTTCCTTTGAAAATGCATGAAAACAGTGCTGGCTGGGTGCTTGCGGCCGCCGGTACCCATAAATTGGTCAAAGGTCCCACAGGGAGTGACCTCTCCAGGGCCCGTCCTTTGCTGTTGGTAGGAACTCCCGCCTAACCCAGGAGAAATGAACGTTCCAGAGCGTGCTTCAGACTGCTGGTCATCAAGAAAAGTACAAGGAACGCTTTGCAAGTGAAGTGCTTTCAAGAAATTAGCAGGCACACCCACACCTGTGAGCTTAGCCCCTCCTAGGGAGGGGAGGTGGCCGAGGAGACCGAGGTGGTGAGAGGGGAGGGGCTCCCCCAATGAGCGGGGCGGGGGGGGGGCTCGGGTCAGCTGCCATCGGCAGAAGTGGGCCGTCTAGAATGACGGGCAGTCTACACTGGACACCTCGCATTTTAAACGGGGTGGAATGAAACCATTCAGGAGACAGTGACCGAAAGAGTCCGAGGGCTCTAGCCCAACGTGATCCCTGGAAGAGCTGGAGAGGAGACTGGGGAAGTCCTGGGGAAGCTGTCACATCACAGGGGCATAGACCAGCTCTGGGCGGGGAGGGGGGGCGGTGCCCACGGAGAAGGCAGGACAGTGGGCGGGCACACACAGGATGAGGTTTTACCTCTAAACAGAAGGAAAAACGTTCTGCCAGGGAGAACCGGCCAAAGACAGGACAAACTGCTCTGCAGAGAAACACATCCTCCAGCACCAAGAGTGAGCGAGGCCGGATCAGAGATCAGGCCAGGCCAGTTCCTGCTCCCTCCCGGGAGCGTCTGCGCTGCAGGAAGTGAGAGAGGAAGCGGCACGAAGGGGGTCTGGGCGCTCGCAGACGTGACAGTGAGGGAAACTGTCTTAGCCACTCCATCTTCTACAGCCCTGGAAAGCAAGCCTTATCGAGCCCAACTGCACGTTCAGTGATGGACAAAGAACACACAGAATGTCACCTACAACCACTGAAGGCTTCACGAATTTCTAGACCTGGCCCTTCCGGTGGATGGAGCGGGGTTAGTTTATCACGTGGCTCAGCCACGTGTCCCAGATCTTCTTTGTGGACTCCTGTTTTGTTCTATTCCGTGGATCTTCCTCTAGTACTGGGCAAGCAACAGACAGGCACGTGCCCTAAGCGTGCTGCCGGCGAATGAGCCAAGCAGGAAGCCGCCTGCTGGGGAGGGAGAGGGAGGGACTCACCAGGTTGACGGGGCTGCTGACATTGCTGTTCATAAGTGCCACGAGGCCGTTCACCAGGTCGCTGGAAGAGAGGGGAGGCTGCTCAGGTGCCCGCCGAGGCCTGCAGGTGCCGAGCATCGGACACAAGCGAGCCACCTCCCGGAAGGAAACCAAAACCCCCATGGGAGACTGGACGTCAAAATAAAACCCGGCACCTAAGAGGGCGCCGAGGATGCTCCAGTGTTTGCAGATGGGATGATGTGGCGTCTGGGATCTGCCTTCTGTGGGAGGGTGTAGGCAGATGGCTGAGCAGGAGATAGGGCTGAGTTCCCTAATTTGTATATTTCTGAAATCCTTCAGCAATTAAAAAATGAAAATAAAGTAGGCACACACCCCAAAAAAGATGGCGTTTATGCAAGTTTCTGAGGAAAGTCCATGTTTAACGGGAACCCAGGTAGTCGGCCCATATGGAAAAGCAGATGGTTTTTTTAAAAATAAGGTCTCCTGCAACGGAAGAACTCCAGTATGTAAGTCTCCTACTGGCAAATCACAGAGAAAGCCAGACAGCCCTGAGTGTTGGAACCAGCTCCCTGGACCTCCGGCCCCTCACCTCCCCCCCAGGAGCCCCCGCACCCGGATGGGACGGGCGGGGGCGTCTGGGTGTTGCAGACGGATGGTGAGCGAGTGGGCCGTGAGGGTGACGGTCAAGAGGCAAATTTTCCGCTTACCAAGGTTTGGTTCTTATTTTCAGAAGCGTTAAAGGGTGGTTCTGTCAAAAAGAAAGTGACTTCATAAAAATGACACCTGGCTACTACGCGAGCGTTTTACTAAAAGTCGCCAGTCACTTTCACCAGCTGTGTCTCACGAGGCTGTGAGGGTTCTTTCTGCTCCGGGGATGCAAATGCGGCCGCCTGGAACCCTCTCCCCTCCTCCACCGTAACCAGCAAGGAGCAGGTTACTGTGCTAAACTTCCAAAAGAAAACCTCAGGTTTTGCTTTCCTTTTCACTGAGAAACAATCTGGGGGTGGGGGGGAGGGTGTTATTTAGCAAACAAATCATTTTCTGGCATTTTATAGGAACACGCCTGAAGTCCGCTCTGCTCTCGCGGATCAAGCACAGATGCAAAGAACCGCTCACTTGAGATGATTCCTCGCTTGTAGAAACTGGCAAAAATCCCTTCATCACTATGGCCGTTAACGACCACATCCCAACACGTCCTCTGACAGCACACATCTCTGCATATTTGGAAAAGACGTTAAAATGTGCCATTCAGTAGCATCCACAAGCATTTTTAATGGGGGGGGTCCATATTAAGCTGGAAGGTGACAGACACTTATGTAGTCATCCTGGGGGGAGGGGCATGCATCTTTTATGCAAAAAAACTGGCAACTTTTAAGGCCAAAAGTGCACAGATCACATCCATTTAACCTGAAGCTCTTTAAAAGTGTCATTTTGACAAAGTGACTTTTTAAGACAACACAGCATGCCTCCGTGATGGGGTGAGGACGTAACCTGGCCACGAGAGCACCAAGCACGGTTATGCCAGGATGTCAGCGCACACGCCACCCAGAGACCGCAACGGTCACCCAGAAACGGTGCAACGCTACCGCAGGGCAACCGTGGATTTTGGAAATGGGTAATTTAGTTCAGTAAGTACAGATCCAAACATCGTGCATTTTTAACTGTGAAGTAAAAGAGCCTCAGTTTCTACAAAATAGCTTGTTTAAAACAGCCCAGCGTTGGTAAGTTAACTCTCTGGGCCAAGCCTTGAACAATGGAGAGCGAAAGCCGGGAAAAGCGCCTTCCCCGAGTCTGGTGAAGTCGGGGAGCCTCAGCACGTCAGAGCCCACGTTAACTCGAGATGTGAGACCAGCAGACGGCGCGGCCTCACGAAGAGAGGGTTTGCCCGAGGGCCCCACACCACTTCTAGTGATACCACTGAGGTCCTTCCAGGGTGCACCCTGGCATCTGGGTTGGTGACGGGGCGTGTGGGCCGTGCAGGCCGGCCAGCGAGGCATGTCCTGTCGGGGATGGAATGCAGCCCGTGCATCGCTCTATGCTTAAAGGATTTTAATCACCAGCAAAAAACAAGCACCTGAGGCTACTTTAAATGAATTTTGTATCTGATGCCTTTGAAATAGTAAAAACGGGTTGTAACTGATGCCCCTTTCGCCGCACAGTCTCTGGAATACTCCACGAGGTGGTATGGCTGGAGGAGTCTGGGGGCCTTGATGAGGCTGTTGGAGAAGATTCAATGTGACTAAGACGTCAAGACCCCTCCCCCCCAACACCTCGAGAAAGTGCGCACACGGGGGCCGGGTGAGGACAGGCGGGGTGGACACGTGTCACGATGAGAAGATGGTACCCGAGCGCAGGATCCCAGGAGCGCGGGCCCCAAACAGACACGGGCCGCAATCGCTTCCTTGCAGCGCACGGCTCCCGAATGAAGTGCTCTGACATGAGAACAGGCCGGCTAGCTCCTGGCTGAACCCCTTCTTAGACGATTTGGGCAACAAAGTGGGCCAGTGACGTGATGGTCCCAGGCTTTTGCCCTGCTAGACAAGAGATACTAACCGATCGGGAGAGAAAAACCACTGTTCATTGTAAGACACTTACTCAGCTTTCTTTTGGACTAAATGTGAAAATCCACACACACTTGCAGGAAAAAAAAAATCTACAGTGGTTGTGTTTAATTTTTTTTTTTCTTTTAAACCAGGCAAAAATTGGTGTGGTTGCTCGGGCCGAGGTGGGGTGGGAGCCCCCCAAGACCTGCCACCACTTCGCCCAACAGCATCCCTGGGGTGGCCGCAGGCCCCAGGGACAGCATTTTCTGATGGACAGGCACTCCAGGGTATTTGTACTGAAAAGTGCAAATACACGGTCTCAAAACATACAACTAGATTTTCCACTGATTTAGGACACCACAAACCTATGCGGGATTCACCACTGTGCCACGTGGGACATATTTTGGTAGATGTAACTGCTCATATAATAACTCTTCTCTCAGAACCCAAACCGCACTTTAAAACTTGCCACCAACTGAACTGGCCGACGACAAACTAGGCTGAGGAGGGCTACCAAGAAATCAGTAAATGTGACCGTTCAACAAAGTTCTTAAAATATTTTTATCTACATTTAGTTTGGGCACAAAATTTGTCAGCATTAGGCCACTTGACCTTCTTAATGATGACAACCTTGTCCACCCCAGAAGGCACATCTAAAGGGTCTGATTTCGGCATCTGCAGGTATGCTGCAAGCCTGAGGCTGTCGCCTCACTGGCCTGAACTGGAGGCCCTGGGTCACCTCGGGGCCGGCAGGTTGGCCGACAAGACACTAGGTGGCAGCAGGAGACCAGCACATCCGACCTCTCTTGGCAGAGAACCGGGATGGGGGGGCACCCAGGGATGAGCAGAACTAACAGTCAACCCAGCTGCTTCACCGGAATGAAAACAGCAAAACGAACAAGTGACCCAGATGGGACTGGATGGCCCTCACCCGCCTGGGGGGTCTTACCTGACGTACTGGAAGGCCCTTGTCTGCGACCCGGATCCGTACACCTGGGGGGAGACCACACGGAGGGTCCCGGAACCGCGGACTGCACGGGAGCCTTCAACCACCAGGGGCGTAGCCTGACCTCAGCCCTGACAACCCCAGGGTCCGGCTGCGCCAGGCCCTCCACCAGGCCCGGGGCCTCACCCAGGGGCACCCTGAGATGCCCTGTGGACAGAGACGCCCCTGGGCACAGTCACGGGCCAAGAGCACAGCGGGAGAGGCCTCTGCAGGCAGGCCCTGAGCCCGAGGCACCAGGGTGTCTGCAGCTCGGGGAGCAGGGTGACCTGAGTCCCGTCCAGGGTCACGGCTCCCGTGTGTTCCCTCCACGCACCGCCCCCTCCCTCCCTCCCTCCCTCCCTCCAAGGGCAGCAGGGACTTCTGACTTCAGGGCAGCCCCCCACACCACACGCCCGCCCGCCACCCACCGTGAGCGGCTCCCCCTGCAGCGCCTGCAGGATGAAGTTGCTGACCACCCGGCCGTCATTCATGTGCATTCGGGGTCCGAAAGTGTTGAAGATCCTGGCCACGCGCACCTCCACGCCTTCCTGCAACACAGAAGAGGGTGAGCCCGGCGCCCCACAGGTACCTCTGCTCTTCCTTCCAGACACAGGTGCTTTTCCGTCCTGATGAGATGCTCTGTTCTCTGTAATCAAATCTGGAGGCTACAAGTTACACCAAACTCACATGAGCCCCGATTCCCACCACCTTGAGGCCCACGGCATGAAACGTGCTGCAGAAGCCTGAGAGACAGTTAAAACAGTGCAAGGGGTTAATGATGGGTATACATTTTTCCCCCAGTAAATAAATATCTACTTTCTTAACTAGGACCGTGCTATGCATCTCTTTCACACAATATTTTGTATAAATTTATCACTCAACGGAGATTTAAATGTTAGTGAATGTTTAATAGCTGATTTGAAGAAAACAAGAGAGCACTTTGTCCTGGGAAAGGAGGGGCAGGTGAGGGTTCCGAAAGGGCTACATTGTACCTACTACATTCCCCAATCTGTTCTGCTGGAAAACTCATCCGTTCAGTGAAAAACCAAAGACAATCTGGCACCTGATACAGGCTATATATAGCTAAACAGCCTGGGAAGATGCCAACGTACCTTGTTTACAAAAACGGGTGCTCCAGACCTTCCCAGACTTTCCCTCTTGTACTTTTAATGTTTCTATTTTTATTACAATAAACATCTCTTACTTTTGTAATTGGGGAAAGCATATTTTCAAACATGCAGTCAAGGAAAGTATATTTTTTTAAACCCCAAAAGCCTTCTGCAAACTATCTTGCTTAATTATCAATTTCACAGACTGCTCTGTCAGTGATCACACTCTGAATTGGCGGACTCCTACAGCAATCCGTCACCCATCAGACAACAGACGCGCATTTCCGGGTGTCAGAGGGCTGGTGGGGTGGGCTGTGAGCCCCAGGGCTCAGTGGCCAGGCCGTGCCGGTCTCTCCTCACCGGGAGAGGGCGGGGCTCGCGTACAAGTCAGCCTCAGCGCAGGCCCGGTGATGACAGCTTAGCTGCTGCCGGGGTCCTGCTAGTCGGTACAGTTCTTTCCTGGCTCTACGTATCAGAGCCGGTACAGGCTGGGAACCTGAGGGACCCGTAGCTGATGGGGCTGATTTAGCACAGAACTTCTCCACCGTAAGTACAGCGAGTGGACCGGCCATGGGCTGCAGCATCCCTAGGGCCCCACCAGGCCTCCCAGTGGCTGGAGCTGCCAGCCACCTCCGCCCCCAGCGGCCTCATCTACGTCTCCACGTGTGCCAACGTGCAGTGGCTGGCAGGTGTGGATCCAGCGCACAGTTAGCTTTCAGAAACCGGAGCTGCCACATTTCTGCCAAGCCCCAGCAATATGCCATCAAGCCTTCCCAAGGGCATTCAGACTCCTAGGCCTAAGATGTGAGCTATGATTCCAGGTCCGGGAATAAACCAACCCTGATCTCTACTGAACTGACCAGGGGGCATTTCAGCAACGGGGGGTGGGGCAGGGACGAGCAGAGATGCTGCTCTCACTAGAAAACAGCTCCCAAGTGTCCGCCTGCATTTACTTGTCAAGATGAGAAAATCCGAAGTGGGTAAAGGTGGCTTTATTCCAAGAGAAGAAAAGCTCAGCACATTCACAGCGGTCAGGCCATGTGCCGGCAGGGCGCTTGGGGGGCTGTGCTTTGCTCCCTCCCCCCGCCCCCAGGAACGCTGGGCTCTGCACACATGAACTGCAGCACAGAGGGACCTGGCTGTGTGACCTGTCCACCTGGGTCCGGGGCCTCAGGGGATGGGCAGCTCCTCCCATCAGGTGCGCTGACGCGTGCTTCCCAGGAGCCCCGGCTCTCAAACTCGTTCACACCCTCTCCGCTGTGCCAGGCCTGCCCTGAGGGAGGCGCCCAGGACACGTTCGCCTGCAGGGAGCAGGACACACAGAGAGCGGGAAGCCCTCAGAGACGGCAGACCCCCAGGAGAAGGACACGCCATCCCTAAAGTAAGGGGGTCACGCAGCCCCGAAGGCTGAAGCACACAGTTCCCCCCGGCCTCTCATAAACATACCTTCGTGGGGTCCGCTCCCCGCCTGGGGATGAGACCGAGGCCATTACAACAGGCAGAGCTCAGCTGAGCAAGATGCCCGAAGGTGCGGGAAGTGTCCGTTCACGCTGGGTGGCGGCAGAGGGAGGCCACACAGGTTTGGGGACAGGGGGATGCCTGCCTGGTAACTGCCCTCAACGGTCCCGCCAGACCCTTAACACTCAGACCAGAGTGGTCACTAGGCCCAGGCCACGCCCAGGCTCAGCGCACGGCCAGCGGGGAGGGGGCACCAGAAACAGGCCTGCACTGGGGGTTCCAGGCCATGGGCTTAATCAGCCCCTTGGGGTGAACCCCGCTCACTGGACATTTGACGTCCTTCAGCCGGTTGCTGAACACTTTGTTAACTGAGGTATAATACACATCCCAGGCATTTAATTTTAAGTATTCTGATGCCAGGAAAAAAAACAAAACCACACCCTCAAGGCCCTGGACTAGAGGGTTTCTGAGTTTCCTGTCTTTCTGCTCTGCGGTCTGTGTTTTTAGGAACGGCGGCCTGGTTCGCAGACCCAGCCCCATGGGGGAGGCTCAGACGCAGGCGGGGCCATGAGCTCCGAAGCGCACAAGCGCCGACCGCAGCCTTCTGGACAAGTCTGCACGTTTACGAAACCACCACGTCCAAGGGCACGGACCAGCCCAATGTAACTTCTTCTCTGACAAGTTCAAAGTGTTCCTGAAAGATGCGATGCCCTTTGATCCCGACTGCCAGCTCAATCCACCCCCTGGAAGAAGAGTCCAGGGAGCTCCTCTTTATGTAGGAAACGTGCCCTGCAATGTACCTGCGATAGATTTTCCTGGGAAATCGAATTCTATTTTGAATACATTTTAGGATATTTAATTCACTACAACAAACCCAGAAGAGAATCCTTTAAGATCTTTTATAAAATGTGTCTTCATCCCTGGATTTATCTTGTTTATATTCTCTATCCTTATATATTAGATTTATTCAGAGAAAGATATATCCACATACCATATACGGTCTTTTCAATAAAATGATGATTTATACTTAAGAGGGGACATGCCTTTATGTATTAAAAAAAATTAAATTAACTAAAAATATGCCAAAGGCATTCTATTCCACCTGGTTCATCATTTTACTGGCCATTATTTTTTCATTTGCCTCCAGATAGCAAAAATTAACACCCAAAGTTTTGAAGCAGGAGAGCTGGAATACTGACCATCAGTTGCTTTGCTGTTTGAACTCCAAAGATGGTCTGATCTGCCCCAGACTGGGCTGTGCCCACAGGGGCCAGCCCAGCGTGGCAGGAGGGGCTCTGACTCACCCCTGCCGCAGCTAATATAAAGTCCCAAGTGAAAGAACTACCCTATTTTTCCCTTCCGTTTATCTCTGAATGGGACCGTGGGTGGTAATATTTTTTCCTTCTTGCTTATCTGTGTTTTCTTATTTTCTATCCTGGCAAAGCAACCTGCAGTACGAGAATCCCGACACCCCTCAACTGTGTGGTGTCTGCCCTGTGGACAGAGAGAGAAGATGCCCACGGCTCCCTCCCCTCAGCACGACTTGGACAAACGAGGGACAGCAAGCACAGGTACACTGTGTAGACCCAGGTGCGGTCACAGTCTCGGACCCACAGCTCTCCCTAGAAGGGAGCACAGTACGTGTAACATGAATAACAAGGCATGCGAGCTTTGAAGCTCACGCTGGGCCTTCTTCAAGGCCACTCAGAACCAGGCGAGACCACAGGGACCTCCACCCAGGCCCAGGCGCCCAGCCCTGCTGTCCTGCATCAGCCCACTGGCCTTGCAGCCACCAGAACCAGAGAGGATGCCGCCAGCCACAGGGCCAGAGGCACGGTCACTCCTGGACCTAAGGGCCAGCCAGCAGGAGTGGGTGAGGGACTGTGGGGAGAGCAGGACCCACACCTGCCTCCAAGGCCACAGGGGCAGGCCTTCCACGGTGCATTTCCAGATGCCCGGACGGCACTGCTCACCTGGGCAGACGGGAGTCCTGGGGCAGGTGTGCTGAGCAGAACCCACAGGTTACACAGTGCTGCTGGCCTAGACCCGAGCTTCACAAAAGGTGCTGAGCCTGTATCCGAAAGCAACCCTCGGACCTGACACTGTGACAGGGAGCAGTCTGTGCACTGTCCCCCTAACCACCGGGTGACTTTTGCACACAGGTGACATCACCTGCTGGGGCCCCTGGTGGGAAGCCCAGGCAGGCGGCCCCCGCAGCAGAGGCATTCTGCAGCGGCGACACCCTCCCGACGGCCACGGCTGGCCGGCCGCACACGGGGCTCCTAGAGGGTACATTACGGGGAGCACCATCTATGCGTGCCTCTCCCGAGACCTATGTGAGCAGAAATGCCAACGCTGACAGTCCCCAGGTATGGAGGGAGCTGTGATCCTGCGCTCACGAGTTGGACAGCACTTACAGATCCCGGGTCAGCACATGCGCAATGGAACCCACACCCTGGGTCCTGGCATCCAGTCAGTGCTCAATAAATGTTGGCCACGCTGTTACTAAACACCATAGTTATCATGAGCTCATACCTTAAGGTAATATGAATACTTACATTATTAAGTTATACTACTTATCACTTAAGAACTAAAAGTTCAATAAACAATGTCCTACTTGCCCGCCAGCTTCACCTACACAAAAACTCACGAAGAAGTACACCCACAGACCGAAAGCAAAACAGCTGAGAACCCTATTGATTTATGTCCTCTCACACACTCGAGTTAGTTTTCTTAGGCACCAACATACACAGAGGCTGTTCTGTGTACCTGGGAGACCATCTTATTCAACTTTTAGGTCAAGATATTCTGGGCTCCAAAACGATACAGTTTGTCTTTTCTAACACTGATTAAAATAAATGGGTACTACAAGGCAACTGCCCAAAGTGGCTTAGGAAAACAACCAGTTCTGCTCCTGGCCAAGAGATAAGGCAGAGAAACCTAAATACCAATGCCTACCTGGCACAGGATCATTCTGTGGGTCGTCAATATTGGTATTTCATTAAAAATATAAGAGAAAAGTCTCTGCCAGCTGCCCTCCGAAAAACAAACAAGGCGCTCAGCGCCCCCAGCCCAGCCATGAGCTCTCAGCACTGGGTACCCAGGCAGGGTCACCCATCACACAAAGCCCGTGGCCAGCTGACCTCCGAGCTGGCCGGCAGGAGGAACCCTCGGCCTGAGAAGGCTGCTCCAGGATATGGACGCCTGCTCGTCTCTGAGTCCCAGAGTGTGGCCGCCACGCCTCTGTCAGCAGCCTGTCCTGGAACCACCCCCATCCACGGTTATTCACTTACACGTCACTCCAAGGGCGTGTCTGTGAGGGTCCTAGAGCTGGTCAAGCACAGTGGATGGCCTGGCTGGGCCCCACCTGGACGTCTGATTGGCCCCTGCACAGCCCACAGGCAGGCAGGACAGGGCCCTGTGACCGAGGGGTCACGTCTCCGGAGTAGACAGTGGGGAGCCAGGTGGGAACCCAGACCCCCGCCTCTCGGCTGTAGGCTCTACCTGCCCCAGCGTGGAGGTGAGCAAATCTGTAACTTGGAAAGATCCACAGGCAAGCCCCAGCACAGCCATGACTAAGGAAGCAGGGAATCAGAGTACGTAAATAACCATCCCTGAAGAGACCTATATTAAAGCCAAAATGAATTATACCCATTAGAAAACAGAAAGAAAGGCAAAAAGAAAAGTAAAAAAAAAAAAAAAAAAAAAATTCCCCAATTCATAGGCTTTGGGAAAACAGAGGAACCTATTAACTGCTGGTGGGTGATCCCAGTCACTCAGGGGCATTCCAAACCTAAGGCTTCATCCCTGCAAAGCATTTTTCAAAAAAGGAGACACATGGGGAAAGCTGCTGATGGCACCATTAACTGATGACAATGGGAAACTGGGGAAACGCCCACCCCCGGGCAGGGTCAGTCACGGCGCTTTATTCCAGCACAGTCCTGGTCTACACCGCCATGTCTACACCGCCAGCCCCAGAGCCGGGTTAGATACCTGCTTCATGTAGGCATAGCACATGGTCTCGGCGACGCGCTTGCCTTCATCGTAGCAGGCTCGGGGTCCTATGGGATTCACGTGGCCCCAGTAATCCTCGGTTTGAGGGTGGACTTCAGGGTCTGCGGGGGGGTGGGGGGAAACAATAAGGAAGTGCTTTCAGAGTCTCCCTTTGTTCACGTTCATACACTTTACGAACAGTGGATACTGATGGTGCAAAAGGGAGCTTGGGAAAGACCAAGGTGAACATCTCACCTGGAGAGATACCTATCAGAGGAGCACCTTCAGCGCCCCTCGGTCCACCTCTAGTCCAGCAGGACATGCTATTCTGACCGCTCGTATCAGTGATGACAGTTTTTACAAGAAAAAAAATTAATTAAAAGAGCAAAGTCTCTCTATTTTAAGTCTCCCCCCTCCCGTAAACTGTTCTTAACTTTTAGATTACTATACAGACTAAATTAAACATCTATGTGAAAAGACATAGGGTCTAATTTCACATTTATAAAATATAGAATTTTATAAAGCATGGATTTATTGAAAACATTTTAAGAGCCTCTCTCTGGAACAGAATGGCTTTCACCTGTGCTGTCACCAGAACCACCTGACGGCCTCAGTGACACACCTGAGGACCTGGTCGGCCCTGGTCCTCTAAGCACGAGAATGAAATGCAAAGAGCTCTTTCCCCAGCACGCATTGTATACTTCCCAATGCCTGTTTTTTTGGTGTGTAAATCAATCACACTTTAAGATGTACCAGAGGAATGGACTATTTAAAGACACCTAGTCACAAATTATTATTTTTAAAAATATTATCTTGACTTTTTTATTTTTGGCTGTGTTGGGTCTTCGTTGCTGTGCGGGGGCTTTCTCTAGCTGCGGCGAGCGGGGGCTACCCTTCCTTGCGGTGCACGGGCTTCTCATTGCAGTGGCTTCTCTTATTGCAGAGCACGGGCTCTAGGCACACGGGCTTCAGTAGTTGTGGCACGTGAGCTCAGTAGTTGTGGCCCATGGGCTCTAGAGCGCAGGCTCAGTAGTTGTGGCTCACGAGCTTAGATGCTCTGCAGCGTGTGGGATCTTCCCGGACCAGGGCTGGAACCCCCGTCCCCTGCATTGGCAGGCAGATTCCTAACCACTGCACCACCAGGGAAGTTCCTAGTTACAAATTCTTTTTTTTTTTTTTTTTTAACACAAGTGCATTTTTGGAATCAATTAATACCTGATTTATCCGGTACAGCAGGAATTTTACACAACTATGCTATGAAATGCATAAATCTTTGCCAAGAAACCTGGATAAGGTTCACCAGCCCCACGTTACAATTCCTTTCTGCTTATGTCAGAGCTGAAGCTCGTGGGCATGACGGGACGTGAGCCGGGACAGGACAGGACCCAGACCTCTGCAGCTGCCTCTGTGCTTAAAGTTCCCTGAGAAGCAGAACAGCTCAGAGACAAACAGGCCCCGAGAGAAGAAAACCAGCGACGGGACTTCACGTGGATGTGCTGGTGACTCGAGACCTCTTCGGGGATTTCTGCCGAGGGCTGGGCAAGCTGGACTCCCAGAGGGAGACCGTGAACGTGGCAAAGGACCAGAAAGAGAAGGCCCCTCGACTGGTACTGTCCGGGCGGACAAGCCCGAGGTTCACGACACACAAAACCACCTTGCTACGACAGAAGCGAGGGTGCAGGGGGACACCTTGTCTGGACCCTGTGTCTCCTGTTCAGCATTGGGGAGGCCAGCAGACCAGGCACGGAACCCACAGGAGGTGGGTGCCTGCAGACCGGGGCTGGCGGGGCCTCCGTGAGTTACCCCGACGTCACTCACAAGCCCTGAAGACCGCGAGCTGCCGTCAGAGATGCAATGCTGAGTGTGGGGGGGGGGGGAAGACGTCAGGGGCCTGGACGGGTGCCGCCAGCGCTCTGAGACGGTGACAAGGACGCAGCCCCGACAGCGTCGGCACCAATGCTGTTGGGACGTGTGACACAATGGGCCGCCCAGTGCCACTTGGGGACCCGCTGGGCCTCTGCAGAGGCTGGAAGCAGGGAGCAGGGGGACGGGGAATAAAGGTCCCCCTGTGTGCCCCGCTCCCAGAGCCGAGGGGGAGCAGGTGGGAGGGGGTGGTGGGTGCTCTGCCTTCCCACGGGGGTGGCAAAGAGCAAAACTGCGTCAGTAGAACTACTGCCTCTATGGGTTTTTTCCAGCTGGTTCCCTTATTATTATTTTTTTTTTTTTTAAAAAGGCATCTCTTCCCACGTTGCCTTCTCACTTCCTTTCCGCGACAGTAACGCAAGGAGAAAATCGCATCGTGGTAGCATCTGGCTTCTGCCGCGTCAACTAAGCATTTCTCCAGAACCCTGCGCCCAGTGGGCGGGGCTGAGCTGGAAGCCCCATGAGTGGACACGTGGTCCTCAGCCCTCTCCGGACGCTCACTTCCTCAAGGCCTGTGGAGGGCAGAGCAGGTGCCTGGGTTTTCTGGCTCCACCTACTTAAGACTCTTCCAGAACCCATCCTCCTACAGGTGAGGCAACCGGCACACGTCTCCCCAGCGAGCAGGCTCTAAAGCCGACCCCTGAGCTCCCGGCGGGGTTGGGGGACCCTGCTCTCACTGGAGCAAATGCTCCAGCTGAACTGGCAAAGTCCCCAAGGATCTGACTTCTGGGGCACCTGTGGAGCAAAGACACTTTCGTGGATTGGTAAGTGGCGGGTGCTCTCGGGCAAAGTGACACGACACCGTCCTCGGGGTGGTCCTTCAGCAGGAGAGAAAGGCTCGCCCCAGCCGGAGGAGGGAGCCCCTTGCTCCCATCTGCTGGAGAGCAAGAGCCAGCCAGGCCTTCCTGGAAATGGAGTCCAGACTCACTGGTCCCTTCTGCGCCCGAGATGGGATGCAACCGTCCAGGGCGCTGGAGCGACACCCACTCACCTCCGTACACCTCCGAGGTGGAGGCCAGGAGCAGACGGGCTCCGACTCGCTTTGCCAGCCCTGCAGAGAGACAGGACACCGTCACCTTCGGGGAACAGGGAAAACACGTGTGCACACGCTCATTTCTGTAGCCAATTTAAGCATTTTTTTAGTGTTAACTATATCTGATCATCAGTGCATCCTCAGTTACCCACTCTTATTGCATCTACTTTGGAACCAAAATTAAAATAGTAAGGAAAGCACGAATGAACCTCCAGAAGCACAGTATTTAGCTGGACACTTGTAACTATAAGCAGGGCCAAATGCAGAGTCTGTGGGTTTATTCTAAGTCATGACTTGAGGAGTTTCATAAAGATTCCTTCGCCCGAACGTACCACCCAGTATTTCGTCAGGTAACTCCGCCCCACCCCCACAGGGAGAAGGCAAGGCCCCTCGAACCTTAGCGCCCCCCTCACTGTCCCCCTCAATGGCCGGCCTCCTGCCCCCACTCCCCACAGGCCCCAGGCATCTCCAACTGCCCCCGAGCCCATCTCCTGTCCGGGCACCTCCGCCCCGCACCCTCCCTCCCTCCTTTGAGGTCCAGCTTCCAGAGCATCTTTTCCAGAGCAACTGGCCACATCCTCGTCCTGCTCTGAACCGTTCCCGGGTTCACACCCCTCCATGCAGAACAGACTAGAGCATCGTCACCTGCAGTGCTCAGGTAAGTCCTCCAGATGCTCTCACAGTCCCAACACAGCAGGCCCTGCCCCAGAGAAACCCACTGCCTGCACTCAACCCCCTGCTTCCCAAACGACTCCCCCACGGAGCCTCTGTGCACAGACGCCACAGGGCCGGCCGTGCCACTCGCCGGGCACTGCTCAGGGCAGAGGGCCAACTCGGGCCGTCAGGTGCACCGGAGGGAGAGGCTCAGGGCGCACGCCAGCTGTGGGCATCCCGGGGGTGTCGGGGGGCTAGACAGAAGGGTCCCAGCGTGAGTGTATAGGAGCATCTGGCGGAGCCCTGAGGATGCACAGCAAGAACAGAGAAGAGCGCTGGTGAAGGTGCAGACGCCACGACGAGCTCGAGGACAACGGCAAAAGGGCTGCAGCTGAAGTGGAATCTACAGGCTCACGGCACTGCAGGCCCATCTCCCGTGTTCCCACCCCACAGGCGCCGGCCAGATGGACCCCGCCAGACCCACTGCTGCACAGAGACGGTGTGAGTGCCGAAGGATCTTGAGATCTTTTTTTTTTTTTTTTTAATTAAACTTCCAATGTGAGAAAAGCGCAGATTCAAATGCAGTTGTTACAAGTAATCCAGACAGATGCCCTTCACCCGGTTTCCCAACGGTAACAATGTGTAAGAGCAGCACATCATCACAGCCAGGATACTGACAGGGATACAGTCACAGAGCACCCCTCACCACGAGGCCCCCTCCTGGGGCGAGGCCGGTGTTTGCACTGAAACTGGACAAGGTTTCACCAAGACGCAGCCACGCTCAGGGCCGGCAGGGGGTGACGCCGCAGAGGGAGGGCCCCACAGGCTCAGAACACCCGCCCCAAGTGCGGAAAAGCTAGTGACACTGCACCCAGCTCAGAAAACCGAGTCTCACTGGGTCTCCTTCCAGCCTGGCCACCGTCCCCCTGCAGCCTTTGTCCACGTCGCCCCTGGAAGACCCTTCCCCACACCCCCTTCAGTCCTCCAGGCCGCCTTCACTCGGTTCCAGCCCCAGCCCGAGCCTCCGCCCTGGAGCTGTAAGGGCACTTCAGGGCGCCTGCTCTGGGAGCCTGTCCGTCCCCCGCGGTCGCCAAGCCCCTGAGTGCAATCCTCATCTGAGCACCCCCAGTGGACGGGACGGGTGGGAGGCGAGTCGTCTTTCTAAAGAACTCCGTGCACACGAGGCTGTTCCCGCACTGCGGCTGGCTCTGTGTGGAGGAGGGGCTGGGCGGCTGGAGAGGGGGCAGGCGCTAGCAGTGCCAAGAACGGGGCATCTCCACCAGGCGCACCTGTGAGCACAATCGGGCTCTGTCCATCTGCAGGCCGCCGCCGCCGCCTCTGGATGGGAGGAAGCACCCTTCCCTTCCTGCACAGCCGCTGCCCCGAGGGCTTAGTGTAAGAGACGGAGCGCCCGTCCCACTGCCCTTCACGCCTGTCTCCCAGCTTCACTCCAACTAAAACGCAGGAGAACCTGTCGTAAATGTTCCTTATTAAATCCACCTTTTACTTGACATTTAAACAAGTGGTTCCTCTCTTCCACTTTGCACTTAACCCAAACCTCTGGTTTTCTAAACCTGTGGGAACTGAAGCCCATGTGTACACGGCCCAGACTCTGGGCCTCAGGCCAGCTGTCTGTGGACTTGCACATGCGGCCACCTGGGACGGTGCTCACGCCCTCACCTCCCACTTCCAGGGCGAGTCCTGCGGTCAGTCCAGAGCCAAGAGTTCAGTCTCCACCACCCCATGAGGGGTGCTCTCCCCATCCCCCCAGGGGCAGCACCCAAACTGCGTGGGCTCAGTCCACCCGCCCCGTCCTGGATCAGAGCCGCCGAGGCTCACATGCCACGAGTCCCGGAAAGCGCAGGAGGGGAGGGCGGCCGCTCGGGGGCCAGGGGATGTAACTACCGCCCCCCATGACAAGTTCCGATGGCAAAGCAAGTCACACCGAGGGCACAGACGGAGATGGGGGGTGGGGGGCGCCGGCCGAAGACCAAGATCAAACTGGAACACAACAGTCAGTGACCGACGCTGGACCGAGACACCCCGACAGCAGATGCAAGATAAGGGGGCCACAACTCACCCAGCATGTTGAGCGTCCCGATGGTGTTGGTCTTCAGTGTCTTGATGGGGTTGTACATGTAGCTGGGCGGCGAGGCTGGAGACGCCAGGTGGTAGATCTGGTCCACTGTGGGGGCAAAACCACACCTGTTACGTCCACGGAAAACACTGAACAACTGAACTCCTAAGAATCAGACCGTGTAACACAGGTGTTCGTGTCTTCTGCTGAAATTCTAGTTGTCACGTTTCCTTCTTCTTACAAACTAGTTTATGTGTACAATGGGAAGAACTTTAAACAAAAATAGAAAGTCTCATTAATCTGGAACAGAAACGTGCCGGCCCCTGACGTGGCCTGTTCTCCTCTAATCAGAAACGGTCTGATTACCAAGCTGATTGCTTTCTGAGAAGATCTGTCCCAGATAAAGCTCTCAAATCAGAAGGCAGACTGATTCTTCAGACAGAGTTAAGCATGAATATTAAAATAAACAACACTTTAAATTTATAAAACAAAGCTGACACAAAGTACACAAAAGTCTGGGAGAAGAGGGACTTTTGCTCTGTTTTTATTTATCCTGCTATTATAAACAACAGACCCAGAGGTGACAGTCGGAGGGTGGTTTTTAAGGCCACGAATGGTGAAATGTTTGGATTCTGCACGACTCCCCTGGTGCACACGTAACCGCTCTAATGTCACCAACTGCGACCCTCACTCCCCAGGGTCAGGCGACCCCTGCCCCACAGCAGAGGCCGGCAGGGCCGTGTCCCCTGGGGGAGCCATCCCTGCAGACACAGCATCTGTGATGCCACCCACTGCGCTACAGTCAAGGAAAACCACCCCCGCCGAGGCCAGCCAGGGGACGGGGTCCGAGACACCACTGCCAGTGGGACCCCTCCCTCCCATACGGCTCGGCCCCGACATGAGCGCCTGCAGGGACCCTGCCCCTCCACCCCTTGTCCCCGCATCCTCTTCCCAGCCAGGACCACTGCTGTCCTTTGAGGTCAGGGCACCTCAGGAGCCAGGTTTCAGAGATGACGGGTGGAACAGGCAAACTTGAAAAAAAAAAGTTCCCATGATGAATTCTGCAGTATGACGTTCTCAGAGACCAGCCCCCGACCAAACACTGCCCAACCTCCCCACATCACACACCCTTGTCCCCCTGAAAGTCTTCTGTCACCCCCGGGGTCGCGTGGGCATCACTGCAGTGCCATCCGGGACCCGGGGCTGTTTCCCGACACATCCACCCCAGGGTGAGCAGCGGACGATGCTTTCTCATCCTCAGACCAGGAGAGGCTAGTATTCCAGGCAGGGGGCTTGTTCTCCACTCAACTCACCCCAACAATCACGGTCTTTCAAGCCCTAGGGCGTCTGGGGGACGGAGGACACGTGAGCCACCAGGACCCGGATGGTTCTGTGCACACGGCGTCTTTGGGAAGGGGTTCTAGGTGAAGACAGACTCATGGTATAACCTGGTAACTACGGTTTTTCCTATACCAGGACCATACACCACAGGAGGCAAGAACTACATGTGCAAGGCTGCAGGTCCCATCTTCTGGGTGTTTACTGACGTGGCTTCTTGGTTTGCTAAGAGCTTTCCAGCAAACTCCTGATGGGATTTTTATTTTTTTAAGTCTTCTTATTTTAAAAACAATACTCTGCAACATCATCTCCATCAAAATCTCAACAGCCTTTTTTTTTGCAGAAACAGAAAAAAAATTCATCCTAAAATTCATATGGAATCTCAAGAGTCTAATCAAAACAATTTTGAAAAAAAAAAGTTGGACTCCCATTTCCTGATCTCAAAACATATTACAAAGCTACAGTAACAAAACAGTGTGTTACTGGCATCAAGACAAAGACCAATGGAACAGAATAGACAGCCCACAAACAAACCCTTCTGTGTATGATCACACAATCTCTGACAAGGGTGCTGAACCACTCAATGGAGAAAGGACAGTCTCTAGCAAATGATGTTGGGAAAACTAGATATCCACATGCAAAAGAATAAGACTGGACCCTTATCTTACACCACACACAAAAATCAACTCAAAATGGATTAAGTACCCAAGTATAAGACCTAAAGTAATAAAACTCCTAGAAGAAAACATAGTGGGAAAGCTGCATGACACTGAATTTGGCAAAGATTTCTTGGATGTGACACCAAAAGCAAAGGCAACAAACGCAAAAACAGACAAATGAGACTACATCAAACTTAACTTTTCTGCCAAGATCAAAGGGCACAATCAACAAAGCAAAAAGGCAACCTACAGAATGGGAGAAAATACTTGCAAATCACACATGTGATAAGCTAATATCCAGAATATATAAAGAACTCCTACAAACGAACAAAAAATAACCAAATTAAAAAATGGCAAAGCACTAAATATACAGTTCTCCAAAGATGATATACAAATGGCCAACAAGCGTATGAAAAAATGCTCAATGTCACTTATCAGAAACATGCAAATCAAAACCACAATGGGTATTACCTCACACCCATCAGATGACTACTTCAAAAAAATAAAACAGGAACAGAAAGTAACAAACGTTGTTGTCAAGGATGTGGAGAAATTGGAACCCTTGTACGCTGCCAGTGGGAATGTAAATGCTGCAGCCACTGTGGAAGACAGTATGACATTTCCTCAAAATATTAAAAATAGAATTAACATATGATAAGACATTTCGCTTCTGGGTATATAGCCAAAGGAATTAAAAAGCAGAGTCTCAAAGAGATATTTGCACATCCATGTTCACGACAACATCATTCACGACAGCCAAGACATGGAAGCCACCCAAGTGTTCACAGGCAGATGGACTAATAAACAAAATGAGGTAAATCCAAACAGTGGAATATTATCGTCTTAAAGTGGAAGAAAATTCTGACACATGCTACAAGACAGATGAACTTTAAGGACATTACTCCAAGTGAAATAAGCCGGTCACAAGACAAATGCTCTACGACTCTATTACGCACACGAGGTCCCTAGAGCAGTCAGATTCACAGACAGCGAGTACCGACAATTCGCCGGGGCTGGGGGACGGGCTTACTGTTTGGTGGGTACAGGGTTTCAGTTTTGCAGGATGAAAAAGTTCTGGGGCTCTAGTTCACAACAACATACTTCACACTGCTGGTTAGTGCACTTAAACATGGTGACGAAGGTAAAAACAGAAAAAGAGGCTTAGGAGTGGTGAAAGCAAACGCAAAAAGGGGATCAGAGCCTCTACCAAAGTGGAGGTGGAAATGAGTAGTTCTGGTCTGTGCATTTGTTCCCCCACTTTCTACCCCCGACCCTGCCGGCCAACAGAGGATTCTCCTCAGTCCTCGCTCTGCAATCAGAGCCCCCCAGGGAAGCTTCTGAATGAAAGGTGCCCAGACCCCTGGCATCCTGCCGCAGACGCTCCAGGCGGGGAGACTCTGGACCTTTACTTACATGTGTATTATTTATGTATTTTGTAAAACCACGTTTTAAAACTACTGGGTTGATTTAAAAATGGAACCCATGCTGTTCAAAGAATAATCCTTTTTCAAGAAACTAAAAAAACACAAAACCTTTTAAAATGGTTTACAGTCTGTCCAAATGGGAATTCATTGAAGGGGTTGATCTAATTAAGAGGAAAATCCTGTGACTGCTTTCTGACCCCCAGAAGTTTTTCGGAGTTAACACACAGATTAAAAAAAACCCAAACAAACAGAAGTTCTATGCAAATTGTAAATTAACAAGATAGTTCTCACAGAATCCCGCCAACCTCAGCTGACAGCTATCTTTTCCAGCTGACAGCTCTGTAGGTAAGGGGCTGGATCAGTTCCCGCCCACCTGCTAAAAGGCCCAGGGGCTGCAGGGAGTCCCAGCAGCCAGGGACACCTCGTCACTCCCCACCGCTGCCCGAGCAAGTGGGGCTGCGCTGGGCTCCAGATGGGCCTGCAGAGCGAGGGCCACGGCGTGGAGCCTGCTCAGCACCCCTCCCGGTTCACAGACCCCCGGCAGGGCTGCAGACGGCGTCAGTCAAGGCGTGTGGGCTGTGAACTCCTGGCACAAATGATTCACCACTGGTTTCACACTTGAGGCGACAACACATACAGTGGGAAAAAAAAGGAAACGGCATCAAAGAGGAAAAAGGGCAACTTCAGAGAGCGCAGTTCAAATACGAGCATCCTCACGTGCATCCTCACCCACGCCAGTGCTGATCCAGGTCAGGACCTCACGCAGTCACCGCTGGCGGCGCGGACCTCGGGGTCCTAATCCATCCTCCTGACTCAGCGAGGGCTCCACAAGCGTCCTTCCTCACGCTTTATCCGCACACGGCCCCGCTCTCTGCAGGACGGCAGCCTAGAGCACGTGCAAATGTAGATTCCCGGGCAGACCCAGGAAACCTGCAACTGGAAACATCCCCTGCACGGCAAGGCTGACGTGAGAGCAGTGCTCAGTGGGGTCGGCCAGTGTCGAGGTGGGCTGCACACCGGGGACTTATTTCATCTGAAGGCCGTTCCATCTGGTGTGTCGTGTTTTCCATCATTTGACAGCTTAGCCCAGCGGCTGTCCCCACCCACCGCAGCTGGAAGGACCAAGACACTCCCTGTAAGACCATTCCTTACATTGATTTAAGCAGCGCCTCTTTACTACGAGGCTGTCCTGCCTGCAACACTAAGGACAGCAGCTCCAGTGCCCGTCCCAGGAGGACACAGCACCAGTCCCTGACAGAGTCTTCTGGAAGGAATTACGACAAGGAGAGAGCGGCAACTTCAGAACAAGCGTAAATGATCAGCCACAAGAGGTGCTCGGAAAATACGAAGAAACGTTAACAACAGAGCAGCAGGGTGAGCCCTCACAGCCGGGGAAAAGAGCCCTCAAAGCCTGCCAGCTGCACAGCACGAACTGCACCAAAAATGAGCGTGACGTTCAAGCATCCCAGCTGGGGGACGAAGAACGGCACGGCCGTTCGTGCTGGCCGTCGGCCGCCAAGTGACCCTCCGGAGGCCCTGTCCCATTTACAAGGCTGAGTGCAGAAGCCACAGCTGGGGAAAGAGGAACCTTGAGAAATGAGCCTGAAAGAGCTCAAATTAACGAGACTAAACAGTAAAGCAAACACGTGTTCTCCATTTTCACATAATTTCCTTAAATAGGTTCAAA